CGGATCGATTCACAGATCGATTCCCGCCAAAACTCACGGATCGATTCACAGATCGATTCCCGCCAAAACTCACGGATCGATTCACAGATCGATTCTCGGCGAGACTGACGTGAGAACTCACCGATCGATTCACGCATCGATTCACGTGTCGATTTTTGGCGAGATTGACGGATCGATTCCGCACTGCAGATTCACGGATCGAGTGCTGACGGATCGGATAGCGTGTTGCTGGGTTGTTGAATCCGGGGGAGAAGCAGGGATGGTGGCCACACGAGCTGCCACGTTGCGGCAGCAAAGGTGCCCGCTGGAAGACGTCATCGCCTCTCCGCCGGTGGTATGCGCTGATGTAGTATTTAGCGGCGGCGGGGCAACCTCTGCTGCTGCTGTTTCCGGCTTGGAGGCGAAGATCAAGGGCACAAGTATTTCAAGTAATACTAGTAACATCAAACGCGGATCGGGATCTCGATCTGCCTCGTTGATAACTTCTCGCGCAAAGGCAGCGAACCCCAAGAGGCGCAGGAGCAGCATGTCGGAGCAGGCAGATCGAGATTCCGATCCTCCTGCTGCTGTTGGCGAGAAGAGGCCGAAGTTGAGACACCCACACGCCATGCGCGGTGGCGCCTCGGGTCTCGATCTCTCTGGGTCGGGAGCGGGATCGCAAGACACAGGGAAGGCGCTGGTGAAGATGAAAGCGAAGAGGAGGAAGAGGGAGGGGAGAATGATGTCAAAGACGGCCAAGAAGAAAAATGATGATGATGATGATGTTTATGATGATGATGACGATGATCTTCATGATACTTGTGCTGCTGCTGGTGCTGCTGCTGGTGCTGCTGATGATGAGGAGGAGGAGGAAGCGAAGGAGGAGCAAGAGGAGGAAGAGGAGGAAGAGGAGAAGGAGGAGGAGGAAGAGGAGGAGGAGGAGGAGGAATATATTGATGATAGCACTGCCACTGCAAAAGGTCGGCGTAGTAGCTGCTCTGGTGGGAGGAAGCGAAGTCGGCAGAGACAAGGCCAAAGCAGCAACAAGAGGATCAACGAATCCGAAGCAAGAAAGCAAATGAAAAGTAGTCGGGGGTTGTGGGGGGTTTGTCGTGGGCGTGGAGAGGAGCACCCCTCCTCCACAGATGATAGTAGGATGAGGACACGTGTCGAAAGCACGGCTGAGGTGATGATGATGGCTTTGCCGGAGACGACGCCTTCTCACAGGATCGCGGATATCGAAGAGTGCCCTGCTGGGACGGCGAGCGGGGTCTATGCCACGTGGCGGCCGCAATTCGATCACGCGGAGAGGGAGCAGATCCGACGCAATCTTCTTGATTGGTATGACCGCAATCATCGAGTTCTTCCATGGCGGCAGAACTTATGGTCCAAGCTGCTGGATCGGGATCGGGACCAGGGTCGGGGTCGTGATGAGGCATCGGTCCACGTGGGGGCGGTATATCGTAATCATAATCTAGACCGGAGGGAGGAGGAGGAACGCGACGATGACAGGTCCTTGTTATCATCAAGAAGCAAGAACGACCTCCTCACGCAGCAGCAGGAGCAGGAGGAGCAGCAGGAGCAGCATCAGGCCGGACAGGTGCTGTTGAGAGGGAGAGCGAGAGGGAGAGAGAGAGGGAGAGAGAGAGGGAGAGGGAGAGGGAGAGGGACAGGGAGGGGGAGGGAGGGAGAGAAGGAGAAGGAGAAGGACAAGGAGTGGACGGATGTATCCGATTCCCCGCCCAACGTCGAGATGGATTCGTCTGGAAGTCGTGCATACGCAGTCTGGGTCTCTGAAGTCATGCTGCAGCAGACACGTGTCGCGACTGTAATTGATTACTACAAGAAGTGGATGGGTAAATGGCCCACAGTTGCCGATCTCGCCAAGGCGTCTATAGAGGTTGGTCTGCTGTTCACTGGCCTTTTTTTTTTTTTTTTTTCCAGTTTGGAATTTGGAAATTTGAAAATTGCAATCAGTGTCTATCGAGGTTGGTCTGCTGTTCACTGGCCCTTTTTTTTTTTTTTTTTTTTTTTTTTTTTTTTTTCTTTTTGGAATTTTTAATTTTTTTTTTTTTTTTTTTTTTTTTTTTTTTTTTTTTTTTTTTTTTTTTTTTTTTTTTTTTTTTTTTTTTTTTTTTTGCAGTTTGGAATTTGGAAATTTGAAAACTGCAATCAGTGGCAGTAGTGTCTGACGGAAGTTTTTAGAAAACGCAAACAAGGGAAAATAAATAAAAAAAGAGGCTTTTTTTTTTTTGCGCAGATTGGTGGTCGGATAGATGGCAGTCGTTGTTTTTACCAACTGGCCTATCCCAGTTGCTGCACCCGTGAACTGCTGAAATACAGACCTGAGATCGAACCCTCGTTTTGAATCAGATGAGCGAAAAAAAAATGCATCGTGCCTCGGGACATCATAGTCAAGTAGTCCAGTAGATATCACACCAATCGAGACGAAGTCTACACAAAACAGTGGCGAGGGACACGTGTACAAATTACACAGAAAAAAAAAAAAAAAAAAAAAGGCATAACTGCAGGCGTGGCATCCCCGAGGCCACGTTTCGACGGTTGCCACCGAGAAGATGAATTAATGATTACTGTTGTTCAATTAATGAGGGAACAAAGAGAACATCATAGCCGTTAAAAAAAAAATAAAAAAATGGAACACGGTAATGAGAGTGAGAGAGAAGATGGATTAAGGAATTAAGGAATTAAGGAATTAATTAATTAATTGATGAGCATGACCCCTGCACTTAGAAGGATGACTCGTGTGCATAAATCGAAAAATGGTCCGATTTTTTTTATTATTATTATTTTTTTAATGAAGGAAGGAGACAGAGATCTTGTTGCAGATTTGAGTGCGCTTCCATGAATCAGAGTTTTTCATTTTAGAAGCATGCATGCATTAATAAATAAAAAAAAAAGGAAAAAAAAAGAGATCATGTTGCATCTTTGGATTGTTGCAGGGGGGGAGCAGCAGGGATGAATCACATGCATGCACTAATGGGGGAAAGGGGGGGGGGTTAAAAAAAGGTGGAGAAAGAAAGAGATCATGTTGCGTCTTTGAGCGTGGAGTTGAATCACATGCGTGCCTGAATGCAAAAAAAATAAAAATAAAAAAATAAAGAGAAAAGAATTGAAAAGAAGAATCAGATGCATGCAAGTATGCTACCATCTTTTTTGGCATCTGTAAGTTGTGCGCTCTCTTTCAGAAATAGTAATTTCAGAAGAAAAAGCTCTCAGGGCATACTCACACCACTACCGATATAGGACTTTTTCCCCGACTGAACTCTGGACGTCATGGCGGTCAGACAATGCCAACACGCACACACACACACACACACACACACACACAACCTCCTGATGAGTCGGTGAAGTCCGACGAAACAGTCTGTCTGGCACAGTCACGCTTTTTTTGGGTGTATAGTGAATATGACAACACACACACACACACACACACACACACACACACACACACACACACACACACACACACACTCGCAGAGCCCAAAAGTATATATGAAAAAAAGGGAGAACCCTGCGATCTTGCATCTGAGAGAGTCCGTTTTCAATTTCCAAATCATTTCACATTGTAAAGCTCTCAGCTTGGTTTTCAGAGCAGGCGCGATCTCAGCTTTGGATCCTCCTAACAGGATAGGCGAGCGGGGGTTTGAACATAGGGCCTCCCTCCACTACACAGTACTGTACATTCATTAGGACGCTTTAGGGACCAGGTGCATTCGGACAATTCCGACGTTGTGAATGCATCTGGTCAAGAAAGCGTCCAAATGCACGTACAGTGCTGTGTAGTGGATCGAGGCCCATAGACGTCTCCTGGTCCATCTCAGGTCTCTGAGTTGGCATGATAGGACCTGTCAGGTAGAGGGGGTACATACGCACTAGTCTTTCCCTCAAATAGAACGCAGGGTCGTTCTGGCTGTATTTGGGGAAACTTTCAGTCCAGATACACGCATGCTGACCATAGAGCGGGTGAAGAGGGTAGTGGTAGTGGTAGCAGCGCCTATGTCTTCCCTCGAATAGAACATATGGTCATTGTAGCTGTATTTGGTACATACGCACTAGTCTTTCCCTCAAATAGAACCCAGGGTGGTTCTGGCTGTATTCGGGTGAAGAGGGTAGTGGTAGTGGTAGTGGTAGCAGTAGTAGTGTACTGAGGTGCAGGCCCCACTGGAATATGCCTACCATCTTCCCCCGAATAGAACATATGGTCATTATAGCCGTATTTGGCTCACCTTTCTGTCCAGATGCAGCATACGTTCTATTTGGGTGAAGAAGGTAGCTCTTGGTTAGAAAACCCTAAACCCTAAACCCGAAACCTAAACCCTAAACCCTAAACCCTAAACCCGAATGTACGGTCATTAAAGCTGTATTTGAGGCAACTTTCAGTCTAGATACAGCAATAATGACCATATGTTGTATTCGGGGGAAGACAGTAGGAAATCCAACGGTTAGGATCTGGTCATAAAATCGAACTCTGGTACACATGCCTTGGATCTCTCTCTAAACCTAGAGATTGCCATATCTCCTAGGGGGGTAGAGGGGCGGGGGAGGGGAGGGGAGGGGAGGGAGACTGGTTACTGTGCATTTCTCTTCTATTTTCTTCTTTCAGCTCCCCCCTTCACCGCGCCTGTCACGTACAAGGCTTGCTCGCTATGTTGATGTAGTTGAGCACGAGCTCCCAGCGTGGGGGAGAGGGGGGAAGGGGGGGGGGGGGGGGGGGGGAGACTTGCCACCGTGTCTTGCTCTTCTCTGTCTTCTTTCAGCTCCCCCTTTACTGCACATGTGACGTACAGGCTCGCTCGATATGTTGATGTAGTTGAGCACCGACTGCCTACATCCCCTTGTGCCATAATGGCCCACTTGCATGCTGTGAAAAAGAGCAGAGTAAAGAGGGGATAAAGAGAGAGGAAAGATGGACGCAACTGAAAGCAAAGGAAGGGTGCTAGAAACGTCTGCTCTTACCAGCGCTTCTAGCACCGGAGAGGGATGACGATGAGAGCATAGGGAAGAACAAGAGAAGACCCGGGAGTCAGTCTGTGCTTGACGGCAGAGAGGACGTAAACGGTAGGGATGAGGTGGGTGATGACATGCAAAACGTAGCTGAGAGATTTTGTTTTTAGCGCAACGGTTGCCATGACGGCTGGCATTGAGCATGCCCGCCAAAAACTGCCGACAAATCGCATGTTGGCCAACGGCTGGCAGGAAGGAAGAACAGGCATCAGAGAAGACTGTGCATTCCTTATAACGTCCCCTGGCAAAGGAGAGGCAACTGTCTGCACAAATGAATGCAGAAATCATATATATATATCGTCACAAACAGAACTGCCCGGTAAACCATAGGCAGAGAGAGAGAAGAGGACAACAAACGAGGTATATATATATATCGTCAAATAGAATATATATATATCGTCACAAACAGAACTGCCCGGTAAACCGTAGGCAGAGAGAGAGAAGAGGACAACAAACGTGGGGCTGTGACAAACTGTTTCGTCGGAGTTTCACCGACTCATATATATATATTGTTACATAACTATGAACTAAAAGAGCGTACGTACTTTGCGAAACAAACGGCAGAAACAAAACAGTAAAAAACAAGACAAATATGAAGGGAACCCATTCATTTTTCTCATTCTTATATATATATATATATCGTCACAAACAGAACTGCCCGGTAAACTGTAGGCAGAGAGAGAGAAGAGGACAACAAACGAGGGGCTGTGGCAAACTGTTTCGTCGGAGTTATATATATATTCCGACGAAACAGTTTGTCAGAGCCTCTCGTTTGTTGTCCTCTTCTCCCTCTCTGCCTACTGTCTACCGGGCAGCTCTGTTTGACGATATATATATATATCGTCAAATAGAACTGCCCGGTAAACCGTAGGCAGAGAGGGAGAAGAGGACAACAAATGAGGGGCTGTGACAAAC